GGCAAGTCTGAGTGAGAGGCGCGAAAAAGGGCATACCTGTCTTGTTCGATGCCCGCGCGCACATTTGACATGGGAGACAACGGTCGACGGACGGCCCAGCGGGACGCCGAAAACACTAAAGGTCAAACTATGGCGATTTGGGCTCCTGTTCATTTTAACAGACCTCTAGGCATGCCTGCATGTGTGTGTGTGAATCCATAAATCTGGCATTCTCTAGTGGTGGTGGTAGTAGCGGCAATTGGATCGGGATTTATCGTCTCTGGCGCGCGCGGATCAGGAATGTCCAACTGGGATCCTCTGCGCTGCGTACGTGGCTGCGTGCATGCGCACAGCGAATGCTGTTCTGGCCTAATGAACGAACGTCTGCACACATACTCCTGTGCGAATTTGGCTGTGGAACTGCAACGGCGAACGCAAAGACCGGAGAAACCGGAATAATTTGTGAAGATAAACGATTAAAGAGGCGGCCAAATGACAAGCGGCATGAGGAAGAAGCGAAACGCAAGGTGGAAGCGCGGAGCAGGGACGTTTGTCACCCATCAAACACCAACATTACAGACGCAGATGCCATTAAGGTCCACGAACAACGACCAGAAGTGAAATATCAGTGCGGTCGAAGAATTCTACGCAAATCTTCCCACAAAAAACACACAAGCCTGCAGTTTTCCCTTCGCTGCAAGCATTGCAACGATAAATCATCCCCAAGCAGCTGAGCTTGAGCTGAACGTGGTCGAGATGGTCTAAGAATAGTATAAGGGTTTCCGCTTATCCTCCTGTTTAGGACTTAATCTTTTTGTATCGCTTGTAGAACAGTTTTTTTCTTCAAGATCGAGACAACCGAGGCTTTCGGTAGCAAAAAAATATGTAAACCAGCACATTGGGAGTGCCACGAATAACACCTCATTCCTATTTTTGTGATTAAAACTGCACATTCGATCAACTGTTGCAAGAAGGGAGGCAAACAAAAGGGCTGGAGTCATTCAGTCTACTGAAAATGACCAGCTGATTTAAAGTGAATTTCCCGGAGCTGAGCAAACCATTGGATGAAAAAAAAACTCACAGATGAGAGCCCCGACAGCGATCACACAATGATGGAGAAATAGCAAAAGCCGAGTAATACCGACAAAGACTGAAATTAGTGTCTGTTGGTTTGCTTTCCATTGACAGGAAGACATAAACTCATAGTTTTCGGAGACCTGAGCCCAAGTATAGTTGATGGGGTTATGTCATAAATTCGCGGTTTGGGCATTACCCATAGACTACAGCGACATAAGCGAACACGCGAGTCCCAAGAAGTAATTGAGAAGAAGTAGAGATGGTCACTGGGACAAGAACGCCGTTTCGAAATCCGTCGTGGATGCTTCATCAGAGACATAAGCAGAAACGGGTAATTAACACATAGGGAGTGGGACATAGTCACTATACTACTGCGCACGTGTGGCAATTAGCAGCTCCCCCTATCGAAAATTATTTCCAGCTTGTGCGCTAATGGCTTGACGACCGGTTTGCGGGCCGTGACTTGTTGAACTTTCATCACACGTGGTGGAATTGGGCGTGATGATAGCTCGGCCATCCGGACTGCAGGTGACGGCCCACACGCCGTCCATCAAGCAATTAGCGCACGAGCGAGCAACTATCCTCGACAGGGGGACCCTTTATGGTCACAAGTATGCAGGTAGGCAGTGACTGTATCCTATAAATACTGTGGCTCCCTATACATGAATTATCCGCTCCTACTAATGTCTCTGATGATGCATCCACGACGAATTCCAAAACGTCAGAAGAATGAAATTCTTGTCTCAGCGATCACATCTACTTCTTTTCAGACTACAGCAAATAAAGTAGAAATGTTAGTTCCAATCTGCCTTTCTCGTTTAGTAAGCCTCTTGTGAGTATTAATGGCTCGTCGGCAGGGTTGTTACCCACTCCAGCGAGGAATCAGCTTGCAAATAACGCCGAAACAGACAATGATGCGATATAGATGTTACACGTCTATGTATGAAAATTCGTCGACATGGAATAAAGGCTCGGGTACGCGGCTGAGCCATAAAGAAAACACTTCAACATCTTTAGAATTGTTAGGAAAGAAGAAGGGAATGATTTAGCCAATGATACTCAAATGCAATTAAAAGTGGAAATCGTGTGTGGAAGCCTACCCAAATATTAGGTCGATCCAATTGTGCAGGTTAGCAGAGACGTAGTCCGACTCAAGGACGCCTCGGTGGATGCGGATAAACTCTTCCGCTGTTGATGCCCATGCGGGCAGCTCAACGTCATTCACGACCTCACCAGTCATCTGCAGGCGACCAAGGTCAAAGTCTACAGTTTAAGAAGAGGATAGAGTAGGCATACTAACTGAACTGATGACAATTTAAATATGTAAGTCCCTAGTTTTTATTTCCATAACGTACCTGCTTATTCGATTTGGGCAGGCACTTTATGTAAGAGTTACGTTTCTGGCTGAGTTTAAGGGACAGCCTAAGGTTCGGTTTTAAGATAAAAAAAGGTTAGATTTATCTATTGCAGAATGTTTTACCTAACCCGAAAAGACAATTTGCTCGTGGCTCAAGAGTTAGGGCGTTAGAGTCTGATCGCGAGATCGAGCCTCGGGTGGTGCACCACAGGGGGCTACGTATGATTGGCTGACGACGGCTAATGTGCCAGAAATAATCATTCTAGTCTCCCCTGTCTTTGGCGGCAATACTACCTGCCTAAACTTTGGATTTCCTGTTTTCGCATGTCCTTTATTTGCGTATTTCACATTGTGTATCTGTTTCGGTACCCCATTGAAGTACTCAAACGAATGCATGCAAGAAATAAGAGCATTCTCAATGGCTTACGCACGCTGCGTTAATTGCTTTGCTCATCTACCCTACTGATAAAACTGATATTTTTTACCCTTCCCATTTGGCAGAAGTACCTCTGCTCTATTCGCCCAGTGGATTAGATCTTTACTGAAGTGCTTCCTCTGAGTAAGGCGTTCCTACACAACAAACGGCCGGAGCACATATACAAATAAGACTAACTTGCCAAAAAGACCGGAGGAAGCCTCGTTGACAACTGGAGTTTACCTCAATCCGATTAATTGCTTTAATCGTTTGCCTTACTGATAAAACTGATATTTTAACATTTCCGGTTTTGCGGAAGTCCCTCTGCTCTATTTTCTCAGAAAACTTACACAATAGGAAATTGGTAAAGGAGACATATGGTCGATCACTGGAACAAAATTTATTTTTTCCTTGATGTCCTCGTTAAGAGAACACCCAACGGTGAATTCGAGACGACGGTTTACAGGAAGGCGACGA